AGTGACTGGAGTTCAGACGTGTGCTCTTCCGATCTAAGGACCATTTTTGCTTCAATGTTGAATAACTTGGTGAAAAAAAATCGTACAACGCTCAACAAAAAAGCAAATTGAAGGTAAAAATTCACTCTTTCGAAAGCAGTAAACTGCATTTGTGTGCGATTTTTATGCCACAAAACCTTTTAAATTTAGTACACATTTTTAGAGATTTGACGCATTTTTATTTGGACCTATGTAATTCCATAAAAAATCAATAGAATCGTTTTCTAAAATGTCGAACTGAAAAGTAGAGATTTCAAGCTGTAAAATGCTTTTTTGATCATCTCGATACGATCATTTTTGACGAAGTTACACTCTCTTGAATTTTGTCTATTTTTGGAGGGTAGAGTAAGTGATGCTTTAATTTTGTTGAGAAGAGTACATGCATATGCAGCTTTATTGGCAATTTAAAAAAAATTTTGAATGAATTGAGCTTCTGCAGATGTGGCGATGTACTTATTTGTTCAGGTAAGCCGTTTTTTAGAGGCAAAGCAACCCGAGAACCTTATTTGATCTCGAATCTTGAATACTCGATCCTTCCTGTAATGCGTGTAGCATCTTCGGATATCCAAATAACTTTTGGAACATTTCTCTCATTTAAATATTGCACTAAACCAATAAAATCAATTTCTTCAGTATGTTTATGATTAGTAAATGAATATCTGTTTAGAGTAGTTATTGAAGGTAATACGTTTGACAAATTTGCATGCAATGTTTCATATAATAATTTTCTTCCTGTATAATAAAGATAAATTCCAAATTTTTTCGTAGCTTAATCATAACAGTTCTTATTCGCTGGATGTTTCGAATTTATTAACGATATATCTAAAAGTTTCTTCAAAAAGCTACATAAAATTGATTTCTTATCTTCTGTATTAGAATTTATGTTCGATTTTTTTATTTTAGGTAAAAAGATTTCAGTCATTTTAATATTTTCATTCAAAATTTTTGCAACTTTTACAGCTAAAACAAAATAATCTGTTATTAAAGTTTGATTAAGATCTAATTTTTCATGAGCTCTCTTTAATCTTTCGGATCTTTGATATTTAACACTTTGAAATTTAGATATCCCTTTATATTAAATATCTGTCTTAACATTAGAACTTGAAGGAATATTTCTAGTATCATCTTCAAAATCTTTTTCTGTTTGATTATTCAAATCAACGTCAAGATTAATAATTGAAATAGAATCATCAATATTAAGATCAAAGACTTCGCAGATTCTATTAGAATTCGTATCGAGATCAATAATATGTTCTTCATCTATAATAACCGAATTTGGATCAAGAATAGAATAATCATACTTTTCGTAAATATTTTGCGAGTTATCTGTAATATTTACTGTATCTGAGATTTTATTAGAAATATAGTCGGCAATAAGATTATTTCTACTTCTATATTTAGAACTGAACGAATCAATATTTTGAATATGTTTTTTAAGTAAATGTGTGTGATAATTGGAATATATCCTACGTTTTGAATTTGAGCATTTTTTCGAATATTTATATATTGTATAATTTGACCCACGAAAATGTTATAGTGCATTTTAATTCTTTATTTTCCATACTTGTTATGATTATTTTATCAAGTCTCGTAAAATATCCAACTCTGTTTACTTTGCCTTGAGTCCAAGAAATTATTGCTCTTCTTACTGTTGCGTTTTCTTCCAATAACGTAGTTTTTAATAGTTCGTCTGAGAGAGATGCCGATAAATTTTTTTCCTATAATTAATAATATCCAAGTTGAACTAGACCGGGTGTGTAATGCCACAAATAAATTTAAGAGCGCCTCTTACGGTTAAAGCTGGATCTTCAATTTCTTCATATTTTAAGATGTTTATTCAAATTATATTATTAAAAATTAACTATGTAACGCGAAGGGCCCTACGCCCCGTTCGAAGGCCGCCGCCATAAGTCGGCAATGACCAGCGCGATGGCGCTGTGCAAAGGTGACGCCATCCGGTGAGGTGGCGCTCGACAAAGGGAAGCATCTGAAGAACAGTAGCAGCAGCAGAGTTCGGAAGTAGAAGAGTTCACGTATTAATTTTCGAGTCATTTTCCTTACTGTATCATAAGGAGAAATATATTTGTGTTATTGGGTACATCGACCGGTTCTCGTATCCCCTCGTGTCATAAATCCCTTACAACAACCAACTAAATTCAACGATCAGTGCGTAATTCATCGAGCCACGTACACGGACGTTACAATTGGCGCCCAACTAAGAGGAAAGATTTACGACGAAGAGCACCGTTCCCAGACAAAACGTCGTCCCCACGGAGGCCAACGCGACCGATGACACGGTCGCAAACGCGAGCACAGTCGCCGATACCACGTAGGATAAAGACAGATGAAGAAACCCAGGTACGAAAGCGGGAAGAAAAAACCAAGATGGCAGAAGGTCAAAGCACAGGTAACGCGATCACATTAACGAAGAAACAGTTTGCTGCCCTTCTACAACAGATACAAATATCTGTCGCAAACATCACGCAAAAACAAGATAATTTTTCACGATGCACTACACGATTCGACGGAAACAAGACATCCGATGTAGAAGCGTTTATTGACGCGATCGTCACATATAAAGAATGTACCAATACATCCGACGAAAACGCGTTGAAAGGGTTACCGATCTTCCTCACGGACATCGCCGCGACATGGTGGCAAGGTGTTAAACACACGGTTAATAGCTGGGATACCGCGATAGAACTGTTGAAACAAACTTACGGACCCAAAAAACCGGCGTATCGAATATATAAAGAACTATTCGCCCGCGAACAGGAAGAGGCCACATCAACAGACATATTTATATGCAAAGCGCGTGCGTTACTGTCGAAACTTCCGTATGACACTCCGTTAACGGAAAGCATCCAGATAGATATAGTTTACGGATTATTGGCATATAAAATCCGCAAGGAAATACTACGCGATAAAGTCACGTCATTCACGGAACTGCTAGATCTCGCCAGAGAAGTCGAAATGGCTAGAGCCGAAAAAACGAAACTCGACCGCGTTGTAAATATTGCAAGAATTTCGGACATCTTGTGGACGAGTGTAGAAACCTCAAAAAGAAAAACGAGAAAAACTTAACCGCGAATAAAAAGAATAAAATAGAAACCGACACACGCGCAAGTAACCAACAATTCCAACCCGCTGTAACATGTTTCGGTTATGGAAATCCAAGTTATCTTCGGAAAGACTGCCCAAAATGCAATAAAACAGATAAAAATAATAAAAGCGGCGCTAAACCCAAGTTTTGCCTAATGGACGCAACCGAGGTATGTACAAAATATAAGAGTCGACCGATTCTTAACGTAGAAATACTAGGAGCGAAAGGCACAGGTCTAATCGATACGGCCGCGAAAATGAGTGTTGCAGGACACAGTCTCTACAAAATCCTCGTTGAGAAAGGACAAAAATTCAAGAAATCAAACTTGCGCATCGGACTAGCGGACGGCACACGCAGCAATAAACATGTATTACTAACGGAGGTCGACGTACACGTAGAAAATCGCACGATAAGTACCATCTTTCTTATAATGCCGCACGCAAAAAATACTTACACGTTATTCGGGATGGATTTCTTTGAAAAAGCAAAAATTGCAATAAACGTGCCGCAGCGCATATGGTGTTTTGCAGATAATTACGAACCACACGAGTTGGATTTCGAAAACTCCCACGAAATATACGACACATTACAGCTAAGCTACGTCAATACATTGAGGGACGATGAAGCACAGATCTTATCTCCAGAACAACGTAAGGAACTTAACGACACTTTAACAAATAATGAGGACATCTTCGCACTAGGGGGAGAACAGACTCCATACGCAGAACACGTTATCGATACAGGCGACAACGCACCGATAGCTACACCGCCCTACAAAATGTCACGTTCCAAGAAAGAAGTCTTAGAGAAAGAACTCAACGCCATACTAGAAGCTGACATCATCGAAGAATGCGAATCATCGTGGGCAGCCCAGTGGTAATCGTACTTAAAAAGACGACACTATACGAGTATGCGTTGACTATCGTCGATTGAATACAATCACGAAAACGGACTCTTATTCAATCCCCAGAATCTACGAACTAATACATCTCGCAAAAAGAACACTTTATATGTCGACCATTGATCTGCGCTCAGGATTTGGTAAGTAGGCGTAAAACCAGCAGATCGATACAAAACTGCATTTACCACACCATTTGGCACATTTCGCTTTAAGCGCATGCCCTTTGGCCTAAAAAATTCAGGGGCCACATTTCAACGAATGATGGACCATTTCCGAAGGGGCTTGAAAGATACTACAACGATAGTCTACTTGGACGACATAATCGTGATATCGACGAGTTTCGAAGAACATATGCAGGATCTACAGAAAGTCTTTGATCGCCTACGTCAATTTAAGTTGCGAGCTAAACGAGAGAAGTGTAAATTTGCTTGTTCACAAGTAAAATTCCTAGGACACATACTCACAGCCGAAGGTATCCGCCCAGATGATGGTAAAATAGCAGCTATAACAGGTCTTCCCCCAAAAAACGTGAAACACCTACTTACATTTTTGCAGACTGCTTCATGGTTCCGCAGGTTCATCCCAAATTTTGCAGCGGTTGCCAAACCATTAACGTCACTAACTAAAAAGGACGCTACATGGTCATGGGGTAATGACCAAGAAAACGCCTTCACGGAACTTAAAAAAGCACTTACGAACAATCCTGTACTTAGACAAGCGGATGACAGCCTACCGTTCACCATACGAACAGACGCAAGTAATCATGCAATAGGAGCAATTCTCGCACAAGGAGAGGGAAACGACGAAAGACCAGTAGAATATGCCAGCCGCCTTCTAACGTCTGCAGAATGTAATTACAGCACCACTGAGCGTGAAGCTCTCGCAATTGTCTGGGCTGTAGCAAAATTCAGAGGATATATAGACGGCAGCCAGGTTACAATAGGAACTGATCATCAACCATTAAAATGGCTTATGAATTTAAAATCACCGTCGGGACGCTTAGCCAGATGGGCACTAAGTTTACAAGAATACAATCTAAAAATTGTGTATTCGCCAGGGAAAAGTAATGTCGTCGCCGATACCCTTTCGAGACCACCATGTACGGACGATAATACAAAAGAGTGTATAGTCTGCTCAGTTCGATCTTCCCACAGACGGTGCTGCCAAACTAAGAGAAGAACAAATGTCAGACCCCGAAGTCATGAAGATTATCAACGCATTCAAATAAAAAAATGACCTCGACATAGCAAATTGAAATTCTCGAGGATATTTGATGTCAAACGGCGTATTATATTGTTACGCGGCTATTAAAGACGTTGAAGAAGCTTAGTGGGTTGTGCCAAAATGCGCAATTGATCGCATTTTGTATGAAAATCACGACGCACCGACTGCTGGACATTACGGAACGGACAAAACGTTGAAAAAGATTTTGAGCAAATATTACTGGCCAGGGATGCGAAAAACAATCACCGACCACGTAAAGAAATGCATTGAATGTGAGCGATACAAGCCATCTAACCTAAAGCCTGCAGGATTATTGAGAACCCCAGCAGCAACAAGAAGATTTGAAGTATTAGCAATAGACTTATTCGGACCTTTACCGACAACAATCGAAGAATATCAATGGATACTCATAGTTGATGATGTTGCTACAAAATGGGTTGAATTATTCGTGTTAAAACGTGTCACTGCAGAAGTTTGCGCTAAGACTTTAATCAATGAGGTCATGCTCAGATTCGGAATTCCTTGATGTGTGATTTCCGACAACGGACCACAGTTTATTGGAGCAGTCATGCAGCAGGTGTCATACTGCCTGGGATTCAGCCAATCCCTGACTCCGGTTTACCATCCAGAAGCGAATCCAGTGGAACAAAAAAACAGAGACATGAAAACCCAACTTTCTATCCTGGTTGGCGACACACATACCGAATGGGCTAACAAATTACCATCAATCAGGTATACCATGAATTCCAGTACCTCACTAACAACTAGAAATACACCAGCCTACCTCACATTCGCACGTGAACTGCGCAACCCAGGCGATATACAAAGGGATCTGCGAGATATCGTCATCGGGGAGAACTTCGTGTCAGAAGTAACACCTTACTTGCTGAAGATCGCCGATACCATGAAAGAGGTTATCGAAACACACGAGCGAGAACAAGATAGACGCAAAAGTTATGCAGACAAGGATAGAAGACCAGCTATTAAATTCAAAGAAGGAGATCATAATTATGGTCACAAAACACGAATATTGAGCGATGCATCCAAGAAAATTACAGTCAAGTTCGCACCAAAGAGAGATGGACCTTACAAGATCAACAAACGCATATCACCTACCAGTTATCAATTGGCTGATAACAACACTGGCGAAGTACTCTCAATTCATCATGTCTCGGACCTAGAAGCTTACAAAGGGAATAATTCAAGAAATTCTCCGTGCCAATCAATCAAACCTATTAGGAAGCGCGGACGACCAAAGAAAGAGACGAACTCTTCGCTAAATAAGGATATTAGACCTTCATCGAGGGTCCCTGATGAGTCCAAAGGGGGAGTAACGCGAAGGGCCCTACGACCCGTTCGAAGGCCGCCGCCATAAGTCGGCAATGACCAGCGCGGTGGCGCTGTGCAGAGGTGACGCCATCCGGTGAGGCGCTCGACAAAGGGAAGCATCAGAAGAACAGTAGCAGCAGCAGAGTTCGGAAGTAGAAGAGTTTACGTATTAATTTTCGAATCATTTTCCTTAGTGTATCAAAAGGAAAAATATATTTGTGTTATTGGGTACATCGACCAGTTCTCGTATCCCCTCGTGTCATAAATCCCTTAATAACCCACTAAATTCAACGATCAGTGCGTAATTTATCGAGCCACGTACACGGACGTTACAACTAATCTAATTGATATTACTATTCCAGCTTTAGTCTGTAATTGCGTTGCAAGTCCAACATTAATTCGGTGTAAAAGGTATTCTCAAATTTATTTGTAAAATTATTTTCCATTATACCATTACTGTAGAAAATGACTGAGAAGAACTACTTCAGCTAACTGTCTTTTTTTTCCAGATTTTTTTCTTAATTTCAGACGTGTTTTCTAAAAAATTTTTCTTTAATAATTTTTCTTATAATATTCAGATAACAAAGTTATATTTTTATGCCCAAGTACTAACTGAAACAATGTAGAATTTTTCCAGTACGGGCCGTAATATTTTGGCAAATCTTTCTTGTCTATGATATTATGTAGATTGTTTCTTACAAATGAAATAATTTCTTTTATATCAGTATCACTTATATTGGATATAACGGTTTCGTTTTCGAAACCATTAATAATTAACAAATTCTTTAATGTCGTAGGAATTTTTTAAATTTAAAGCAGTCTCGGCTTCAGTGAAGAAGTCATTTAAATAGGTCGACTGCTGAGAATCGCTAGATTCTTTTTCCAATCTTTTGCTGGTAGCTGTTATCTATAAAACATAGATATTTTTATAATTAAAATAGTAAATAAAAAAAATTGAAACTTATAAGCAAATACTTTGTATTAAGTTGTAGTTGTAGTTTTAAAAATTGATCAATTAGTCGAATATGAGGAGAATATATTATACATACGAAATATAATACAGACGAAGTTAAAAGAATTTATGAAGAATTTTATTTATTTAATTTTATTTTTTAATCACTAAAAATGTAATCTTTTAAACGGTATTTACAACTGCGTAAGCATAATTATAAGCGATTGTAAGTGATTGTAGTTATAAGAATTAATCAATCACAGTCGAATATATATTCTCCTCATATTCGATGAATGTGACTGATTAATTCTTATAACAATGATTTACAATCGCTTACAATTATGCTTACGCAGTTGTAGATACTGTTTAAAAAATTACATTTTTAGTGGTTAGAAAATAAAATTCTCCATAAATTCTATTTAACTTCGTTTGTAAGCTCTTCCTAATATTATGAATAAAAACAAACCTTTTCCAATATCCACTTAAGGGTGTACACAGCAAATATGTACAAGTATACTCTAATAGTTTGCTATAATAGCCGCTTTGTATCCAAACCAAATTTCGCTTTTTGTGAGATTAGAACTTAATCTAAAGATTGTGATACATGATTGCGAATAACGCTATCTAGATTCCAGACTCGAATGATAAGATAAATGTTTGATCGGTAACGTATAAAAGATATATGGTATACATATATATTATAATGTAGTACTATAACAGAATAATTAGTGTCAAACAGTTTTTATTTTAAAAAGTAACAATAACGTTAATTAATGCTTAATTAGATACCCAATAATATTTGTAGTAAAATCTATTAATGCTCACTAATGCCCACTTATAATGCCCATTAATTCCCGCTAATTCTTACTAATTCCTAGTAATTTCTCAAATCTGTACACCGCAATGCCCTCAGCGGTTTACCCCTCGAATCTTACTGTTGGGGCACTGACATGTTCGGATGCGACCGCAAGCCTGTCACACGACGGATGCCATCGGTGCTTTCGTGCTCCGCGGAGCGGCATCACTTGACGGAGCATGTCGAGGATATCCGACGCGTCGATGCAGAACGCGGTGCAAGGATCCTTCGCGAATCCAATCCACCAATAAATCGATGGCACGGGTCACGTTGGCGTTAGACCAACCAATAACTCTAATCGCTCACGCCGGTGCAATTGATCATGTTTGCGAAGAAGAAACCGGAAACAATTGCGCGACGAAAACGTGAACAAAACCATTATAGGCTCCATAGTTTCCGCACGTTCTTCAACTCACTCCGTCGCAATAGAAAGTACTGTTGCGACGATCTCGCGACCGCGAAATCTCAGTGACACTCGTTAAGTGTAACGAAGAGCGTCCGCAGGGGGGGGCAAGGAGGGGCATTTGCCCCCCCCTCCTGAAATCAAACAAGTATAAGAAAATTCAAAATTGGCTTTCTTATTTTTACAAATAATTAAAATAATAAATATGTTTGTCAAATGTGAGAGAGCTAAAATACAACACAAGTACACAACTTTGGACATTTGCTCCTCGCGGTAGTTTGTATA